TTCACTTTCTCTGATCAGTTTGTCCCACTCCAGAGTACTTTAGGTCCCTACTACTTGCTCCCATCCTGTATTTCTGCATGACATTTTTCACCTTAATTTCTTGGCCACATCTATCTCTTCCCAGATTATATGCTTCATGATTGCATGGATTTATATCTATCCCTCTCACCAATAAATGTGTTGTGCTGGACCAGTGCCTGGCCCATAATGGGCATTCAGTAAATATTTGAATAAGTATATGACCATGTTTTGTCCTGCTTATTGACCACCGGAAGTTGCATGGTAGGATTCATCTGAAATTCACATCATGCTGAATAATTCCTGAACTACTGTAATGGATGTTGAGATGACATCTTTTAACCACTTCTTTAGTTCACTGAAATGTGGAAGAGAGAAACACTGAAATTTGAGGTATGCACAGGATGATCATGGATAGTATACATTATTTTTATGATCTTCTGCTTGGGGAAAAACCAGAATTTTGATAGTGAGTTATATACAAAAGAGAAATGAAGTCCTTCCCCTAACTCATCTCTCTCTCCTTTTCTTTCTTCTCTCCCTCTGTGTTTGTCTGTCTCTCCTTCTTTCTCCTTAACACTTCTCGACTCTTTTCTATTAAAAGTCTCTATATCTCAGTGAAGAAGAAGAAAGAAATCTACAGGGACTTGAATATATTACTTATATTTTTCTTTCTCATTAACTTAACATAATTATGTTAATCATAATCAGTGCTTCTGTTTGGAGCCAGGAATTATTAATGGCTCATTCCTGTCAATACTTGCTTTTACTCCAGAGTTACATCCCATTCTTTTTTCTAATAAGGTAACAGAGAAGAGTGTACAATTCTAAAGTAATAAGGTATAACAAGGTGTGTAATTATTATACAATAACTTTCTCTCAGTGAGTTAAAAAAGATATGGAACAAAGGGCAAGATCCTTGGAAATCCTTGCTGTGCAGTTATTATAACCTAGCTGTGCAGCAGTTATATCACTTTTGCGAAGAATTTTAGAAATTCTAACATAAATCATTTAAAAAAAAGAAAGAAAATCATTGGGAAAAATTATAAAGAAAATGCCAGTTTATGAAATAAGTTTTACTATTTTGAACTTCATTCTAGTTAATACTGCAGTAGATGATAATTTTCTTGCTTGTTGGAGATTAGTTTTTTAAAATGTCTTCCAAAATTAGGTGAAATGTTATAACGGAACTTACTTTTCTTGAGCAGAGAGTTGAAATGACAGTTTATGCAAAGTCCTTACTAAACAAAATAGAAATACAAAGTTAAAAATTTCAAGTCTTTGGAGACACCAGCATTCAAACTTTTCAGAGTGGAAACTAAACAGTTCATAAGGCTGTCAGTAAGAAACATAAAGAACCCCAAATTAAACTAAATATGACTCTAGAGTTTCAGATTTATATTTAACTGTGTGTGGGTGGTTCAGTGGTGGAGACACTGGAGTATCTATAGGCTGATATTGTCATCTTGCTACCCTAAAGAATGTTATTCCACCTCTGGATCTTTTATCATTTCCTTCAGACTCAAACATTTTAGAGGTATTAGGAAACCCTTTACTGAATGAATGATGAAACTTTCTGTAATTGCTAAAGCTCTAAGGACTGGACTTTGTCTCATGCATCTTTCTATTTTTTTTTTTTTTTTTTTTTTTTTTTAGTCCTAAGGCAGCACCGTATAAATTGTGAGAGCTCAAAAAATACTTGTTGAATTAACTAAACATACTGAGACAAAATTATTTGGAGAAATTAGTTTTTAATTTATTATGGCATGACAAAAGAGCAAGTTTGGAAAGGCACTTAGATAAAATTAAAATAAGGCAGACAAAATGAGATGAGATTTTGAAAGTTACTGAGAATTTAAGGCTATTGGCATCTTCTATAAAATATGCAGACCATTGTTAACTGTTGAATAGCTATTTTCATCACAAATTAACTGTAAAAATAATGACTGACTGACCTACAAAGGGCAGATTCTTGAATGCAATAAAATTAAGATGTATAGGGAAAGAATTATGGGAAATTACATGGAGATAACATAATTTTTTGAGAAACATGTCATCCTGGATATTCTATAAGGCCAGGAATATCTTGGAGATGGCATCTATGGTAAAATGACTAAACCTGATGATTATCAGGTCTTATTTGATTTGAAGCCACATTATGTTGTTTACCATGATAATGGAGAAAGCAAGAAGTCCACTGACAATATTATCAACATATATGACAAGAAAGGAGAGTACAACCAAAGTCTCAAATAATTATCTAATCCAATGAGCACATGTCACTTCATCTTCTATGATGGAAGAAATTCAACGTCATTAACCTGTCATCTGGCAGCTAACTGGTCTTTGCAAATACAGTCCCATAATGAATTCATATTGGTCCCTGCTATTGGGGAAAATAGGCAATGAGTATTGGCAGTGGCCAGGTTAGTCCTGGTTAATGCTATGAGCTGAATGTTTGTGGCCCTCAAGTTCATATACTGAGGCTTTAATCCACAATGTAGTGGTGTTTGGAGGTGGGACCTTTAAAAGATAATTTGATTTGATTGAGGTCATGGGTTTGGAACTCCTGGAATGGGACTGAGCTCATATAAGGGGAATGAAGAGATCAGAAAACTCAGCAATGTGAAGATACAGTGAGAAGAAGGTTGTCTACAAACCAGGAATACTGGAACCCTGACCTCAGACTTCCAGCTTCCAGAACTGTGAGAAATAAATGTTGTTTAAGTCTGATATTTTTCTATAGCAGCCTGAGAAAACTAAAACAGTTAAAGGGGTGCAGGTTGTTTGTTCAATAATATCTCTATCCCTCTCACCATGGTTCCCTTTTTCATTAACCCATTGATTAAACCCTGAGCTAACTGGAAAAGTACTTCCACAAAAGTAGTACATTTACAGAGTAGATTATCTGTCTGCCTGATTGTTAAGGTTCTCTTCCACAATACAGGTCTTTTGTTGAGCAATTATACAAGATAGGATGTCTGTCATGCTCTGGTTCTATTTTTAGAATATCTTCCACATATGGACTAAAAACTCAGCCAGACTATTAGTCATTAAACAGGAATCACTGTAGAACCTGACCTTGGATTATCCTTCCTTCCTTTCAAAGTGAAGAAGTCTTCCCCACTGGGAAGACTTCAGGGTCATGCTGAATGGGGCTGTATACCACAGCAGTCCACTTTAACTTGTGTTAACATATTAAGAAAAGCTAATAAACTAGGCTTGAGTTTTCTTTACACCCAGCCAACTGATCATAGGAAACTCTCCAGAAAGCCATACTAATTAAAAAAGAAGAAGCAAGGTAGCACTAGAAAAGCTGAGGGTGTAATTGGCTCATGTAACTAACTTTTACCTCCTGCATCAGCTTATTACTTTCCCATAGATACTATTTTCATTTGACTACTGTTGTACATATTCAACTTCATAGACAGAATGAGTGGTAATACCCAGCTCATGATGGTAGCTTGTCAGTAACTTTGAAGGATCCAAGTTTTACCCTGCTTGTGGTTGAGGAGTTAGTCTCTGAGCTTCATACAGATGCTGGCAGAAGACACAAGAACTTTTGGGCCAGGACTTTACTACTTATGGCACAGTAAGTAGTCTGTTTGTATCAGTTTGATGTTTGCGTCAATCCCAAGAAAACAATATGGGGTGGTCCCAAATGTGTGCTGCGCGTATAGTAGATTTTTGTGTTTTAAGGAGGTAAGCAAATGAATCTCTGCCTTCTAAAAAAGAAGCACAATTCTGAGGTACACATGGTACTCCTAGAAGGAAAATATTTATAAATGATGGGGATTGAGTGAGACGTATCAGTTGGTGACACTGGTGGGCAGTATCTCCTATGGGGCCTCTTGTCTAGCTATCAGGGTCTTATGATTTATAGTTCAGTTTGAATAACTGGGCCCAGTACTTGTTGGAGGAACTGCTTGAGGGAAGCCAGTCCAATATGTCCTGTTTGTCTATGACAACAGCTAGGTGGCATTACTCTACCCCTTTAAATGACTGAGAATGAGGGTAGGGAGCAGATGGAGGTGTTGATAAGTGTTTTGTATGGGAGGCACAAGAGTTCAGGTCATCCCCTGCTGCTTCTGATAGACTTCAAAGTAAGGTTAAAGGGATCGTTGATAAATTCATGGTCAAAGCTACCCAGAAAGGGATGACAGACCCAGCAGTCAGTTCATTGTTTAAGGCACTTGCAACAGTTCTGGAGAGTTGCACCAGGATGTCAATCTTCTGGAGGAAGACACCAAGATAGTCAATGTCCCTCTCTCTCCCATACTCCACAGGGTATAAAATGTCCCTTCCCCAGGTCCAGGTTGTTGTTCTCCCTCCCTTGCTGATCAGTGTGTCCCATTTCTGAGTGATAACTTCATTTGTTCCCAGCCATACTTTATTTGTACCCAGTCTTTTCATCTAGAAGGGTCAAGTGCAAGACATCAAGGGCACTTTTATAAAACAACTAGAATTAAGCTTGATTCCTATAGTCCGCCTTCTGGGCAGGCTTACACTCTGACGATGTGCCACCTAGTTTAGCCTGGGATTACTGTTAGAGAAAAGAAAGGCACATCATCCCCAATAATGTTCAAGATGGAATCCTGAAGTTTTACAATAAATCTATTTGACCCCCAGCCACTTTTATCCTGAAAAACACCCAGAAGCAGGTGAAAGAGAATTATCCCTTTCTGGGAATCCTAGAGGCTACATTCAATGACTAAATTGTATAGTAAAAGTGTATGAACTAGGTGGAGAGGAGCTAAGGGAGGTAGTTTTTGTCATAAATGGCACATCATTGTCAAATGGCAAATGGTCTAAAAGGCCAAAGACATGACACAGATTAGTTTCAAGGGCTAATATGGTGTGTCTTGAGTTAGCTGATCAGTAGCCTCAAAAAGTGTCAATCTTGATGAACCAAGCCCAGGCATTTAGGAGAAACTTTAAGAATCATGGTCCCCAGGCCACCCTTTATCCAGGAGGCCCAGCTTCCCTGCGGTAGCCACCTAAGGTGGGCTGGAGCCACTGCCCAACCCTATCCACTTCTACCCTAGGCCTCAGTTTCCCCTTTCCTCACACAGGGCACTAATAACAAGGAGCTAGTCTTGCCCAGTCCCACCCTTCTGCTCCTTCCCACCCCCTAAGGTTCTGGTTCCATCTTTCCCCTGTTCACAAACTACCTGTGGATAGTTGTGTTGTTTTTGTTCAATGTTTCCATTCTTAGACATCCGTCATTGCTGCTGTGAGCAGCGCCAAATGTTCATCCTCATTACCTCCTCCTGTTCTGCCCACATCCCCCTCCTCCAAGATGCTCTTAGGGGAAGGGGCCTGGGGCAGAGCAGGCTGGGTTACCGACCACCCCAGTCCCAGGGAAGGTAGGGGCCCTGCCCCTAGGATGCTGCAGCAGAGTGAGGAGTGGGGGGGACTGTATTGACCGACAAGCATGTAGGGGTCACCTTTTCCCCCTGTTCTGCCGAGGAGGAGGTAGCCATTATTTGTCCCAGCCTGGGCCCCCCCCCCCCAATCTGGTTTCCTATTTGCAGTTACTTGAATAAAAAAAATATCCTTTTCTGGGAAAAAAAAAAAAGAATCACGGTCCCCATTGAGCCAATGACTTAGTTTCATGTGGAGAAGGTGGGGATAAAATTTCCCCCAAGAGGATAATTGCCATTTTTCATGTAAAACTGAGATACCACTGGGGCCAGGAAGGATCTGTTCTTTCATATGACATTCCCTTTTGACAAACAAAGCTTTCTGAGCCTTTTCCACTTTGTTAGTCATTGAGTCTGAATTAACCCACACAAAAATGGGATGTCAAGTCACAGAGTCATAAGACCTCCATGGACAAGATATTAAATTTTGACAACTCAGCAGAAAGCTAATAGCTGCTTTTCCAAAGGCGTACATTTAGTAGACATGTCAGGGAGGCCACAGTTTAAAACCCCAAGGACTGTCTCCACATGGAGGCTACCTCTTTTTACAAGTGGCAGTGAGATTTGTCCTACTACTACTTCTCTCCTGAGCTCTTCCCAAATTGGGATAACTTCCTTTGGCTCTTATATGACAACGAAGTGCCAGCATATAACACATCAATCTACACAAGCAAAAAACAATACTTCGAATTGGCCAAAGGACCCCACTTGACAGATCTTGTTAGCTTATCTCCTCCATTGTGACCGCTGCACAAAATCCATCAGTGGGATCCTGGCACCCTTTCTTTCCTGCGTCTATATGGGTGGGAGACTGAGCTCTCATTTGTCACAGAGTCTTAGCCGTAGAAGATGGAGTCCTTCTTCTCTCTGATGTTCCACAGCATACTCAGGAAATAGCTGAGGCTGGAGTCTAGTGAAAGTGACAGAATGAGGGAACAGGGCTGGAGATAGATGGAAAGAGAGAGAGAAAGAAAGAGGGGGAGAGAGAGAGAGAGAGAGAGAGAGAGAGAGACTCCATGCCAGTAAGCAGGGCACATTTATTCTCAGTGCCGGTAAGCAAGGTACTTCTGGTTTTGAGTGACTATATCATGGCTCAACCAAATGAATTTCTTTTTCTTTTTTATTTGAGAGAGAGAGAGAGAGAGAGAGAGAGAGAGAGAGAGAACAAGTTGGGGAGAGGAGCAGAGGGAGAGAGAGAAAACAATCTTAAGCAGGTTCCACACTCAGTGTGGATCCTGAATAGGGGCTGGATCCTGTGACTCTGGGATCATGACCTGAGCTAAAATCAAGAGTCAGAGGCTCAACCTACTGAGCCACACAGGCGCCCCTCAACCAAGTGAATTTCTAACACTTTTGTTCCACCCATAGCTCTAAATTAGAGACTTCTTCACTCTTCCTCCTCCTGCCTGGAGGAGTGCGAACAAAAACAAGTGCATGATTGAGACAACTTGTTTCTTTCCTACATACTGGCGCTCAGGCTCCTGGAAAGGTAAGACAGTAGTGGACCCTTACTCTCCCATCTCGCCCACCACTTGGGTGAGAGCATTTGCTTCTAGACCCTGGGGAGGCTTTTCAGATCCCCTAACTCAGTCCACAAACAACACTTTCCTCTTCCAGAAAGCCATGTCTCTGTCAGCATTCTATTTTTGTCACCAAAACTGTCACAAACCTTGAAGGGTCTGAGATTTTACTCCTCTGACAAGTTAACAAGTTAGCCTGCTACAGTTCCACAGATGCTGGCAGAAAACACACAATTCCTGAGGTACAGACAAAGGACTTCATTACTCATGACACAGTAGACAGACAAAGCTTCATGTCTACATTGGCTCCTTTGTCCCCAAAGTCCCAGAGGGCCCAGGTGATGCTGCACACACAGTGGATTTGTGTCACAGCTGAGAAGTCCTGCATTTAGGAAACCTCAGTCCTTTACAGGGGCTATTAGCAAATCGGCCCAACCTTTGCACAGACAAGACACATAATCTCTAATTTCCCAGGCTGTTTTCTATGCAAATGTCCCTAAAAAGATAGTTCGGGACATAGACTTGAAAACTGGATGTGCGGAAACATGATACTCCCATGGAAAACTGTCTTCCAACATATTTTTACCTGATGTTACATGTTTAAGAAGTCAGTCTCCACCACAGTCCAGTAGTTAATCAATCCATTAGCTATTTCCCAGAAGGCCAAAAAACATTTGACAAAGATGAAATGGCTTTGTTCCAAAACCCTAAAGAATTCTGCTGTGATTCTTCTGTATGTGCTTTTTGAGAGCCCTATCTAATCTGCCTTAGATGCTGACATAGGCAGAGTAATCCCCCCAAAAAGATGCTCACATGCCAATCCCTAGAACCTGTGAATATTAATCTTTATGGCAAATGGGAATTAAGGTTGCAGATGGAATCAAGATTGCTTATCAGCTGACCTCTGTACCCACGTTTCCTGCTTCTTTAGTGTCTGATCTTTGCAGGGCATTGTGGCATAAAAGAAAAAATAGAGGCTTTGGATCAGACAAAATAGGGTTTAGAATTCTGATCCTATAGCTTGGACAGGCTATTTAGCCAAAATCTCAACTTACTTGTGAGTATAATAAGGATGAGAAGAACTACATTATGGAAATGTGGTATTTAAATGAGATAATATCACCAGAGAAGATACTCAAGAGATGTTAATTTCCAATGCCTTACTGTTTTTTTCCCCCAATGTCTTATGTTTAGCGAGTACTAGGTAATCAAGGTACCTTAACTCAGATAACATACTACGTGTATTAGTTCGGTAGGTCCAATGTAACAGGGTACCACAAAATAAGTGGCTATATCAAGAGAAATGTATTGTCTCACGGTTTGAGAGGCTAAAAGTCCAAAATCACAGCATCAGCAGAGTTGGTTCCTTCTGAAGACTGTGTGGAGGATCTGTTCCATGCCTCTTGCCCATCTTCTAGTGATTTTCTGGCAATCTGTGTCATTCCTTGGCTTATAAAAGCATCATCCTAACCTCTGACTTCATCTACAACTGTTATTCTCATGTGTATGTATACAATGTTCCCTTTTTGATAACAGCATCAGTCACATTGGAGTAGGGCCTACCCTACTCCAGTATGACTTCATCTTAATAATTACATCTATAATAATCCTAATTCCAAAAATGTATTTGGAGATACTGGGAGGTTAGAACTCCAAAGGTATGAATTTTGAGAGGACACTTTTCGATCCACAATGGTATTCTAAGCCATCTTCACTACTAACAGCTTTTTGTAAATCTAGGAATTTAATGTTAATAATTGTCAATCCCGATATCATTTTCTTCTACTAAAGAGTGCAGGTTTGTCAGATTGTCAGGTAATAATGTCTACTATAATAATCTACACAAAACATTTAATGAAAGCAATTACTGAAACATTTCTTTGGTTAAACATCATATAATTGTCTTCCCACAACATGGCACTATAACCAGAGAAGGTCAAATTATTGTCAATGAAAGAACCTCTGTAATTCAGGAAGCTTTACTATTTATTATTATCAGACTAAGTCAAACTACATTGTTTGATTTTCATATTATAATACCATATTTTTCATGGGCTCTGATTAACAGTGATAAATAGTACACACATTATGTATTGATTGCCACTTTGTACGCAGCTTCCCTTTAAGATTAGTATTGGAGTGGCACCTGGGTGGCTCAGTGAGTTAAGCGTTGGACTTAGGTTCAGGTCATGATCTTGCAGTTCACGAGTTTGATCACCACGTGGGGCTATGTGCTGACAGCTGGGAGCCTGGAGCCTGCTTTGGCTTCTGTGTCTCCCTCTCTCTGCCCCTCCCCCACTCATATTCTCTCTCTCTCTCTCTCTCTCTCTCTCTCTCTCTCAAAAACAAATAAACTTTAAAAAATTTAAAAAAACACGTTAGTATTGGAGAGAGCACAGCCTTGGGTTTGAAGAGAACTCTGGCAAGAATGGTGTTCTAGGGATCCCTACAGCCAGTGTAGGATCCATATGATTCTGTCTCTCACTTCTTTTTTGCCTTAGTCATTTGTTTAAAAAATGCATTAGGAAACTACTATGTGTAAAACACAATGCTGTACTAAGTGCCAGAAAGCCTTACTACTAAGGACCTCACAGTTAAGTAAGGGGAAACACAGTCATAAATCAATAATCAAAATATAATGTGGTACTTCCATCTCTGATCAAAATAAAGTAACAGGAATTTAGCCTCCTGCTGAAATAACTCTAAAAGGCACAAATCTATAAATCAATGATTATTAAGACATTAGACATCAAGTAACAAAAGACGGTGATTTCTGAGACATGAGCAAAAACTAGGTAAGCCGTAAGATTGCCCCAGCTTGGGGCACCTTGGTTGCTCAGTCAGTTAAGCTTCCAGCTTTTGATCTCAGCTCAGGTCTTGATCTCAGGATCCTGTGCTAAAGACTGGTATTGTGTTTTCTGCTGGGCTCCTCACTGGGTGTGGAACCTACTTCCAGAAAACAAAAACAAAAACAAAAACAAAAACAAAAACAAACAAAAAACAACAAAAAGAAAGATTGCCCAGCTTACTGCCTGGAGAGAGTTTCCAGGCCATGGTGCAGAGAAGAGGAACCCAGCTGGAGCTCAGTGGATCTTCTGAAGTGAGGAGGGGGAGCTGAGAGTTCTCATGGTAGACTACAGGAAAGAAGAAACCTATACAGAGAGGGCGCTAGAGACCCAAAACTGTCCCCCCGCCAATCTTTAGCTGAGGACTGATCATCACTGTTAAATGAGGGAACTATCGAAGGTCAAGGAAAGAACAACCTGAAAAGATGAGAAGGAATAACACTTGAAGCTCACATAGGTCTGAGAATAATATGTTTTCCCAGCAGCCAGAGTGGAAAACCTCATAATTCACACAACATCAGGCTAACTACTCGTAGTGGACCAAAATTAGCCCTAGACTAAAGATTGGTCTGGTCTAGCTTAACAAAGCTTAAAACTAAGTACCAAAAGG